GGCGGCGAGCTGGCGTCGCGCGCTGACCATGAGGTCGCTCTCGTCCCCGACCTGGCGCCTCCTGAATGCTGCCACTGCCTTCTGTGCCTTGACCACCTCGTTTGCCTCGGTCGGACCAGCCCCTGTGGAGGCCGCAGCAATACCATCTGGACCAGAGCTCCGCCTCCCAGCCGAGATACTGCGTCGTGCCTGCCCACATGGGTGAACCCCCGTGGGGTCAGGGCGCCCCAGGCGGTCTCTTCCGCACATGTAGCACCTCTCGTTGGTGCTGAAGTTCTTGCTGAAACCGCACTGCCTGGTAGCAAAAGCAGGTCCAGCGATCACGATCGCCGCGGTTACGACCACCACGGCCGCGATGTTCATCAGGCGCCCCACGGCTGCGGCCACCGCGGCCCATCGGTGGCCAGGACCCGTGGTGGCGACGGAAAAGGCCCTCGTCGAGGGCGACTCGCACCCTGCGTCGCGCAGCGGCACGATGCCTGCGCAGCCGCCTGTGCCAGGCGAGGGAGCGCGACCTCGACCTCTGCCGAAGGAGTCTGCACTCCCGCAGCGGGGCCCCCGCCTGCGTGGGGGGGGCGGGCGGCGCCCACCGCAGCCACGTCGCCCCAGGCGGCGCCTGGAGCTGGGGGCTCCCCATATGGCGCGGGCCGCCGCGCCCCCCGCGGGCAAAATGGTTGCGGGGGGCGAGGGGGGGGCCACGCAGGGAACCACCTAGGAGGAGGAGGAGGAGGAGGAGGAGGAGGAGGAGGAGGAGGAGGAGGAGGAGGAGGAGGAGGAGGAGGAGGAGGAGGCTAGCAGACCTCCCCTGCGCGTGAGGGCGCGGGAGGGGTTCCCTGGGCGTGCGGACGTGGGACGCAGAGCGGGAAAGGGGCGCAAGCAAGCGGTACCTATGGAAGAAGCCGACGCGGCACCGGAGATCCTCCCCCGCACGGCCGAGACGACGCAGCCGATCCGCCGGCGGTGTCTGGCGGGTGGCAAGGGCCACCAATTCAGACAGCGGCTGGCATGAGAGCCAATAGTGGCGCAGATTATCTAGACAATCGCACCCTAGGAGGCACCGCGCATGTTGTTACATACGGGTGTTTGTCGTCCATCCTCCAAGCCAGTTCTTCAAGCCTGCCGAGACCCAGCTGGGGGGCTGAGTCCGGAGGAAAGTGGCCAACTCGTCCCAAACCACACCCCCAGTCCGAAAGTCCACCCCGAACCACGGGACCACCCTCCTCCAGGCGAGCTCCTGCAGCTCATTTTGGAACACGTGCTCGGCAATCGAAGCTTCGAAGACCCTCTGTCACTTGGGGCGAACCTCCGTAGACCCAAACCGCCACCGTCCAAGAGCCTGCCGCCCCCCCGCCCGCAATTTTGGGTCCTCGGGGAAGCACGACGCGGCCTTTTCGAGGGACACCGCGATACAAGGCATCCTCCAGAATGGCGGGGCAAGAAAATCGCCCGTCGCCGGGGCCACGATAGAGGCATCGCGGATCCGTACCAGCAGCGGCCGCCAGACCGCGGTGTAGTCACGAGCGCTGTGCGCATCATGGCGGCGGCAGCCGTCAAGAATAAAGAATGGACCGCTGGGCCTCCAACCGAAGACAGATGAAACCAATGCGCGTGCCTCGCCACCGAACTGGACTCTCCATAGGTGGGCGAACCAATGTCGTTCCTCGGAGGCGCGCTGCCAGCTCATGAGGATAAGCTGGGAAACATAGGAGGCGACAGGGAAGGCCCTCGAGGCGTAAAGCTGGAAAGACATAGCGGAAGAAACACCTTGCCTAGCAATCTGCCCCATACGAAATCGCGCCTGGGACATGGGCGCCGCCCAGTTCATGTCAACAGTTCTAGTCGGGCCGATCCAAAAACCGAGGTACTTCAAGGAGGAGGAGGAGGAGGAGGAGGCTGCCGTGATCTTTTCCCCTATCCGCCAATTATCTCCTGTATGCGCGTCTTGTGCTGCCGTTTAGTCTCACGCCCTCCGTCTCCGCTTGAGGAGCGAGGAGCCTTCATAGGCTCCTCGACCAGATGAGGCGCGGGAGGGGCAGGAGGAGGAGAAGGGTAAGGAGGAGGAGGAGGAGGAGGAGGAGAAGGATGATGATGATGATGATGATGATGATGATGATGATGATGATGATGATGATGATGATGATGATGATGATGATGACATGATGATGATGCTGATGCTGATGCTGATGCTGATGCTGATGATGATGATGATGATGATGATGATGATGATGATGATGATGATGATAATGATGATGATGATGATGAGGAGGAGGAGGAGGAGGAGGAGGAGGATGCGGAGGAGGAGGAGGAGGAGGAGGAGGAGGAGGAGGAGGAGGAGGAGGGGGAGACAAGAGGAGGAGGAGGAGGAGGAGGAAGAGGAGAACATCTGAGGGGGGAAGGCGGAGGAGGAGGAGGAACAGGAAACGAAGGAGGAAGAAGCAGGAGAAACTCAGAACAGGGAGGGGAGGGGGGAGATGGTATCCGAGTGGAGGTTGAGGAGAAGAAGGGGCAGGAAGAGATGCAATCAAGGGCAATTTCCTGTCGGAATATGGGCGGCCTCGCCGCTTCTTGAGCCGGGGTTGTGGCTGGAGCTTTCGGGAGGCTCTGGAATGAGCTCGGCGGCCTCCAAAGATCCCCAGAAGCCACCCGGCGCGCGCGGGGGGGCCAGTCGTGGCCGCTTCCAGCGCGGCCTGGGCCCCGCGCACAGCGGACCCCCTTCCCCCAGCCACGCCCGGCTACACGCAGGAGCGATCCCTGGCGAGCTTGGCCGTTGCCGCGCGGCTGGCAGCGCCGCGGCCTGCGATGTGATCAGGCAGCGGCCTGCGTGCTCGGGTCCGGGCCCCCTGCGCCCACCGGAAGCCGCGCGTCACGGGTCTCGCCGGCGAAGGGTCGCTCTCACGCGCACTTTTAGGTCGGGCGTGTCCTCCGACAGACGGGTTTGGGAGGGAACATGAAAAATACTCCGAAAATGCTCCCAAATAGCCAAACACGGTCGAAAAATCGTCCCCAGACTATGTTTTGACTCTTCTTTTGGAAATTCCTCCTGTAGAGGGGCAGGCTCGACTTAAATGTACTTGGCCGACATGCTGTGGTCGGGGTTGGACAGGACGTCCTTCGGCACACCGCTCTTCGAAGAGGACGGCCGGGGGCCAGACCCGGCGGGCGAACAGGCCCCCAACCAAAAACTGCGGCCGCGACACCCTCTCGAGAACTGAACAAGGGCAACTCGCTAATCAGCATGGCACGGCGGGGTTCTGTCAACCTCCGATCCTGGCGGCGCGCGTGAGGTAATCCAGAGGCCTCCCCAAGCCCAGTGGCTGGACAACAAATCCAGACTAGAGGCCCGACCTCCGCTGAGGGCCTTGTCCCCTATTTTGTGGGCGGCACGTCCTTGCTTTTGGAAGTTTTCTGGCCGTCTGGAGCTCCAAAAGAAGCGCGTTGCAACCTGGAGGCCTCCCAGGTGGGGCGGGAGCAGCTGGTGTCCCAGGATCGCGCCGAGTCGAAGATGATGCATCCATGATTGCGGGACCAAGACAATCGGGCGCAAGATCTCATCGCTATTGCGCACCCTCGCTTCCCTCCTATCTCCTCCACTCCTGTCGCATGTTTGTGGTGTGTGCCCTGTCGCTGGTGCCGCGGTGGTATGTCATCATCAACCTGGATACCGAGAAAACCTTCCAGATGGGTTTACCCCCAACGGTGCCATTTTTGTAAGACTTGCTTCTCTTCGGAATCGCGTCTACGGCAGCCGAGAGCAAGGGACTTGCGAACATCGATTCGACCGCATATTACCGATGCTAGATTATCCGTATTGCTGCAAATCCTCACTGATCACTAGTGCTTGACATCATGATTGGTATCATCGCCTCATGCCTGTTGATTGGCTTCCGTCCTCCCTCCTCCCCTCACTGCTTACACAGGATGGCACCAGCAGTTGCCGATCCTGGCCAGGGCAATCGGGGGCCAAGATCGGTGGAGAAGCCCACCATGGAGCGCATACCGAACCTAGGCCAAGGGTTGGCGCGCCCAGGATCGCTGCACGTGCACAGGCACCTAGGGCCAGGGCCCACCGGGCCAGCTGCCCTCCTCTCCCCTCCGGCAGCATCGCGATGTCTAAAGTCCGACGTGCCTGTGGCAGACGCCCAGAAAACTTCTTAGAACCTTCACTCTGTTTCTCTGGGGACCGACAAGTCGCTCCGCGCGCGACCGCAGACGGAGCGTAGAGACCAGTGGGCAGAGAGAGAGAGAGAGACACGCACACAATACACATTCCCATATCTTTATATACACAGAGAGAGAGGGAGAGAGAGAGAGATAGAGAGAGAGAGATAGACAAGAACGCGCGAGAGAGAGAGAGAAGAGTGAGAGAGAGAAGACAGAGAGAGAGAGAGAGAGAAAAGAACACATAACACAAAACCAATCGCGGTACTACAATTAAAACATGGGGCTGTCATGGCCCCTTCCCCCAAAAAGCAACAGCAACCAACAACAACTAAACGAACACCTCCGAACATATCAGACACATAAGCACATCCGAAAGCCTCCGAACACACCCCGGTTACGAAGACCTCCGAGAACCGCCCAACACCCTCCGACGACAGCCAACAAATCCTCCGAAACGCGCCGAGGGCATCCCCCCAAACCCGCGAGAACCTTCCGAGACGCTGGGGAGGAACCCAGGACGGAAACTCCGAAGCCATGGGTCCTGGCCGGCTGGTCGCTCAGCGGCCGAGGCGCTGCCCTGCACTCCGGGAGGTGCCACCCGCCTCTGGGCCCCTCGCCCAAGTGGCATGCGGCACCCGAAACGCCGCACTCCGGGCGTCTGTGCCGATGTGCTGCCACGGCAAGGGCCTCCGGAATCGTCGGAGGGACCTCCCTTCCAAGGAGGAGGAGGCGGAGGAGGAGGAGGAGGCGGAGGAGGAGGAGGAGGAGGAGGCGGAGGCAAGGAGACCTCCCCGGCGCTGCCCTCCGCGCCATCCGCTGCGCGCCCCGCCCATGGCGTCCTGCGCCCCCGACGGCGGCGCCTCCTCCTCCCTGATGAAGAAGCTGGCGTCCACGCCTGGCCGTGGCCAGCGGGGGGGGAGGGCGGAGGGCCCAGGAGCTCAGGGCGGGGCGGGGGGGAGAAGTCAGAGGCAGGGGGGAGCGAGTCCCCCTCTCCGCCCGTCTCGGCTTCCTCCCGGGCCCCATCCCGCGTCCTCCTATCCAGAGGGCGAGGCGGACGGAGGGAGGAGGAGAAAGAGGACCATTGTAAACCAAGGCCCAAGACGCATCAACGATATCGCAAGAAGCCCTCATTACATGTTCCCTTTTCTAGGTCCTGCAAGAATTATTCTCATTGCGGGAATGCCTTATTCTGAGACGACCGCATGCGAATCCCCAGTCGTGACGAAGCACCATGAGACTTCAGCGTCGCGAGTCAACGTGACTCTTGCGTCCGGACAAACCTAAACCTTCCCAGAACACAATTCCTGTTCTGGAACTTCAACACCGCGAAACAACGTGACTGTTGCGTCCTGGCGATCCTAGATCTTGCTCGAATGCTATCCCTGCGATTTCGACCATGCGAACACTCGCGCTTCTTGGGCACTTTGGTAAGAGTGTGTGCGGCGCTGAGGCCAGAACCATGAAACATATCCACCCATCGTCCTTGCACTAGAACCACGCGCGCTTCGCGCTTAGGTTCTATTCAGCCCGTCAGCCCGAGCCCTTGACAAGTTCACATAGCCACTGAAGTAGTTACCCACAGATGGTTTGAGCATGGGGTATAATGCATCTATAACGTGGGTAGAGCAGATACGAATTGCCGACAAGGACATTTGCATACTATTCAATGCGAGGATGTGCACACAAAGCAATGGAATGACCAAAGCGGCAGCACAGTGCAACTCACTGCCATTTAATCAAACCAGATGCGGGTCCGATGAGACTTGAAGCACTACAACCACACGTTAGCAAAACAAATGCACAGCAATGCAATGCAATGCAAACCAAAGCAAAGCAAAGTAGAGCAATGCTCACCAGTGCAATCTGGATCACGAAGCAACGCAATTGTACATGCCACCGAAAGCAACCCAACGGAATGCAACGCAATACAATGCACAATCATGCAAACTACTGGACATGATTCCGGGAACTCGGAGATCCCACGGACGAGCCGCCCTAGAAAGAGCCCAAAAGCACCCCAATGGGAGCCCTAGACAGGGCCAAAGGACGCCCCAAAACAGCCAATGAGTTCCCCGAGAAAGGCTCCAAAGGGAGCCCAAGCGTAGCCCAAGGAGCTCCAAGCAGGCTCCAGAACGGAGCACAGGAGGGACCCAAGAGGCGCCCCAAGAAAGCCAGGAGATGGCGTCGGAGAGCGAGAGCCCAAGGAAGCGCCCCCTCAGCCCTAAAAGCAAGCCGCCAGGGCTCACGACCAGCCCCAAGAGTGGCGTCAAGGGTGCCTCAAGGGGATTCCGAAGTGGGCTCCAAGAAGCCCCTTGTTGGCCTGGCAGGGGTGGAGCCTGGCGCGCGAGGCACCAAGCTCGCACCGAAACGTCCACGGCGAAACGGAGGCAGCGGTGGCACCGCGACGGTGGCGGCGGCACGAAGCGCACCCCAGGCTCTAGCAAGCCGCAGCCCTTGACTGAAGTAGTGACCCACAAATGGTTTGAACTCGAGGATGAGGAATACCAACCACCCGGCTCACATAGCATCGCACCGTCAATTTCGGCACGCCCCTCGCACGGAACGCGCCCCCCCTCCAGGAGCCCCACTTACACTGCCAGGGACAACGTTCGCACGCGTCCCTCCGCCCATCTCGTCACAACACGGATCGTGTCCCAGAGGGATGTAGTTGCCCCAGAGGGAATGTTCGCATAGCCTCCCCTGCGCGTTTTGATTCACAACCCACACGAATCGTGTCCCAAACCCGACGGCCCCAGAGACAAGGTTTGCATCCCACCGCCCCGCCCATGTCGGCACTCCCCTGACATGTATCATTAGTTAGGGGCGTCTTATGGGCGTCTTGGACGCCTCTCGTGAGCTCGTGGCGTGATTATCAGGTCTCAGGGCCTCTTGAAGCTTCTGCAAGGCCCTCGGGGGCCTCTCGGCATATCTTCGGGGCCACTCGGAACCTTCAGGGAGTTTCTTGACATCTTTGGGGCCCTTCCAGGGGGTCTCGGGGGCATGTCAGGAGCCACACCCTCCAAAATACTGGCCCACGACCTCGTGGAGCCCTCTTGGGCCTCCCGTGGGGCCCTCTTTGGGCTCTCTTGCGGCGTCTTGGGCGCCCTTGGGACCGTCTAGGCGTAGATTGACTGCACGGGTCATGCATGTGGCTGCAGGGACGCAAACGATATGATGAACGTCGTGAGACGATACCTCAGGACCAAGGTCCCGCCTCAGGATACCACAGCTTCAACCTTGAGCGCCCCCCGGGCTCCCACCCCCCGTGACCGCTTCTCGCGGCCGGGGGGGCGCCTCGGGACACCACGGTTTCAACCTTGAGCGCCTCCCAAGGCCTCCCCTCGACCGCGTCTGCTGGCAGGGGGGGGCGCATCAGGGCACAACGGGGGGGAATACCCAAGGAGACAGGAGAGAAAGAGAGAGACAGAGAGCGGGAACTCGAGCGAAAACCGGGATAACCAACCGACCTCCACGCTCCTCGCTCTGCGCTCGTCTTGAACACCTGCCGGGCACCCCCCCTTGACCACGTCTCGCGGCTGGGGAGGAACCTCGGGGCACTGCGGCTTCAATCTTGAACGTCACCCGGGCACCTGCCCTGACCGCGTCTCGCGCCTGGGGGCGCGCCTCAGGACACAGCGGGGGGGATACTCGAGGAGACAGAAGAGAGAGCAACAAAGAAAGAGAGAGAGAGAGAGAGGACAGAGAGTGGAGACTCGAGCGGCACTCAGGACAACCAACAAATCTCCTCGCTCCTCGCTCTGCTCTCCTCTGGAGCGCCTCTCGGGCCCCCCCCCCCCCTGGACCTCGTCTCGCGGCCAGGGGGGCGCCTCGGGACACTGCGGCTTCAACCTTGACCGCCCCCCAGGGGGCGCCAAACGACACCCTGGCAGGAGCGAGATGTCGTGGACGACGGGACGGACTACGAATGGCCCGCCCCATTGCCGGGAGACGGACCATGAACATAGCCCTCCGCCCAAAACCAAGTTCCTCGGTCTCCGTCCCCCCAAGCGAGCGCGACGCTGAGCGCCCACCGAGACAAAGCAAACCCGACTGGACTGCAGGGTGACGTGCTGTCCGCTAGCGGCTCTTACTGCCGCCGTGCCTGGATTGTGGGTCGGAGGCTTTGGGGAACCTGTTGGGGTCTCCTGGCATGATTGTCGAGCGCCCCGTTGAGCCAATTTTGAAGCCTCTCGGGGCCTCTTGGGAGCTGTCTGGGAGCCTCTTGGAGCCTCGTTCGGGCCTCTTCGGGGACTGCTGGCGGTCTGGGAGGTCCACTTGGGGCGGATGGCTCGACATGTGAGCCGGAGCTTCGTGGAGCCATCTTGGGCCGTCTTGGGCGCCGCTTGGACCGTCTTAGGGCTCTCTTGGGCCGTCTTGGATGGGCTGCTGTCGTGAGGCGATATTCGGGGCCTCTTGGGCCGTCCTGGGCGCTGTGCTAACCTAAAAAACGAACATCCGCTGATCCGGCGTGCGATTTTAAGAGAGAGAGGAGATGACCGGGGTGGCTCTGCCGGGGTCGGGGGAGGGGGGGGGGTCTGGTGGCGTGGGTCCCGGTGGCGTGGAGGGTGGGGGGGGGTCCGGTCCCCCGTCCCGCCTGCGGACAGGGCGACTTTGGGGGAAGATGGGAGGGGGGGTCCGGTGGCCGGGGTGGCTCGGCCGGGGTAGGGGGAGGGGGGGTGGGGTTCCATTTGCGTGGGTTCCGGTGCCGTGGAGGGGGTGGGGGGAGGGTCTGGTCCCCCGTCCCGCCTGTGGACAACGGGCATTTGGGGAAGAGGGGAAGGGGTCTGGTGGCGTGGGTTCTGATGGCGTTGGGGAAAGGGAAGGGGTGTCCCGTGGCGTGTGAGTTTGATGGAGCCTCAGCTACAGCCTCGAGGCTGAGCTTCAGCCTCTGGGGGGGTTGCCGGGGTGGCTCTGCCGGTGAAGTAGGGGAAGGGGGGGTGCGCGCACTTGCGGGGGGCAATGTTTGTCCGTATGCGCGATAAAGGGAATCGGGGAAACACGGAGAGAGAAGTGGAACGGGACAAGAGAGGACAACGGGGAACAAATGGGAGGGGAAGACGAAGCTGGCGGTGAAATGCGTGTCTGTTGCGTGTGGTATGTGTGTGTGTGTGTGTGTGTGCGTGCGTGCGTGCGTGCGTGCGTGCGTGCGTGCGTGCGTGCGTGCGTGCGTGCGTGCGTGCGTGCGTGCGTGCGTGCGTGCGTGCGTGTGGGCGTGGGCGTGGGCGTGGGCGTGGGCGTGGGCGTGGGCGCGGGCGTGGGCGTGGGCGTGGGCGTGGGCGCGGGCGTGGGCGTGGGCGTGCGTCCGGGCGCTGGCGTGGACGTGGGTTCTGTGGGTGTTTGCGGGAGCGTGTGTGTGTGTGTGTGTGTGTGTGTTGGTAAGTGCGCGCTCGCATGTGCGTGTGTGTTTGTGTGTTCTTGTGTGTGGGTTTGTGTTCGTGTGTGGGTGCGTTTGTGTGTGTGTGTGTGTGTTTGTGTGTGTGTGCGTGCGTGCGTGCGTGCGTGCGTGCGTGCGTGCGTGCGTGCGTGAGTGCGTGTGTGCGTGTGTGTGTGTGTGTTTGTGTGTGTGCGGTGTGCGTGTGTGTGTATGTGTGTGTGTCGCCGGCGTGTGAGTGCATGTGCCTGCGAAGGTGGCGCGCGTGTGTGTTGTGTATTTGTGTTTCTGTGGGTGCGTGTAATGTGTAGTGTGTCGTGTGTGTCGTGTGTGTGTCGTGTGTGTGTGTGTGTGTGTGCGTGCGTGCGTGCGTGCGTGCGTGCGTGCGTGCGTGCGTGCGTGCGTGCGTGCGTGCGTGCGTGCGTGCGTGCGTGCGTGCGTGCGCGCATGCATGCATGCGTGCGTGCGTGCGTGCGTGCGTGCGTGCGTGCGTGCGTGCGTGCGTGCGTGCGTTCGCGCGCGCGCGTGTGTCTGTGCGCGCGCGCGCACAGTGCCTGCGAGCGCGCGCGCGTGTGTGTCTGTCGGCGAAGTGTCGCCACCCAGTGGGGGCGCCCCGAGCGACCCGGATCGGCGGCGAACACGTGCATTTTCCGGACGGAACTGGACAATTTTGGCGTCATGGAGTCATCTTGAGGCCATCTCGTCAGCGGCCCCATCGTCGCACGGCGGCGCTGGGCCTGGAGGTCGGAGCACTCGGCCCGCCTCGCGCAGCGCCCGCGCGCGGGTGCTGGGGCGGACTTCGCCTCCAGGAGCGTCTGGCCCTGAGCAGGGATGGACTCGCTCTCGCGGCCGCAGCCCTGGCGGCGCTCCCACCGGCGATCCGCGCGCCCGTCGCCCTCGGCGGCTGCGCGGTGCGCCCTCGACCTCAACGAGGCTGAGGCCGGGCGGCGGCTCGAGGCCTGGCGGCGGCCCAGGCGCGCCCGCGGGGCCGCCGCCGTTGGCCGCCCCCGGCGCACCCCGCCCGCGGGCGGCTCCAGCTGGGCGGCGCCCACCAGGGTCAGCGGCTGCTCGATCTGCCTGAACAGTCAACCCCGGGCGATTCCTCGACGCAGGGTCCGCGCTGTAGTGCTCGGACGGCGAAGGGCGCCAGGCCGAGTCGCAACCGCTGCGCGGGGCAAGCGCCGCCACTCGGCGGCAGATGCGCTGCAACGGGCCAGATGATGAGCGACCTTTGAGCATAGCCTGCAACGGAGCCGTGCAATCGTCGAGCACAATGCGGGCGGCCCCGAAGTTTGCCACTGAACGAAGGCGCTGCTTGAGGCAACTCGCTAGAGCCCTTCCTCCAGGGTGACTCGGGCCTCTGCGTGCTGCCAGGGCTTGGACAAGACCCGCTTCCAGAAACCGCCCAATACCTCATTCGGAACGCTCTGAAACGGCGCCTCCGGGGGCCCGGGGAAGACCTTGATGGGGTCCGGAGGGGGCCCTGGGCCAGCATCATCAGTCTCGTCCCCCCACCTGCCGGCGTCGAACTCCCGAGTCGCGCCCGAACCCCGGGGCGAAACCGAGTCCCGTCCAAACCCCCACCTCTCGTTCCACGACGACAACTCGACGGCGACAGTATCCGACGCGAACTTCTCGGCGATGCCAAACTCCCAGCCACGATGTGTCGTCGCAGGACGTGACGTTGCTGATTGGCCCGCTTGCGTTCCTGATGCACAAGATGACGAGCGACCTGCGCCATCTCAACTCCCTGCGGACAGCGCCCCAGAGTCCGACGCATCGTGGCCCCGCCACTCCGATGAACGTGTAGATGGCCCCCAGGGCGCTCGGGAGCTCCCAGCGAATGAGGCCGCGACATGTAAAATGCGATATAACTTGCCCTAGAGTGTCCCCGGAGCAGCGGCCCTGATCGAGGATCTGCTGGATCCCGATAAGGAGGCGCCACCAGAGTCGAGGGTCGAGGCCGATCGCGGCGTCGCTGGCCCCGAACTCCCAACCTAGCGCGGCCTCCTAAACTTTCTTCCACGGGACGCGTCGGTAGCCCAACGCGCTGCAGCTCGCAGTCCACCGCTCCGGCAACATCGCCGGCAACCTCATTCGATCTGGCCAGGGGCGCGAAGTTGTCAACGTACTCTGCGTGTACGAATCCCTCTGCTACACCAGGGACGGGCCGACGATCGACGAAGAGGTTGTGGGTGATAGCTTCGGGGACTCTAGAACTGATAGTCTCGTTGATGGTCTGTCATATCCACGGGCTAATGCCCCAGCCCATGGGGGGGCATCGGACGCGCGGGGCAACGCGTTGGCCAGGGGCGACGGGCGTACCATCGTCGACTGAGGCGAGTTTGAAGTCACCCGCTCTGACAGGAACAAGCCCGAAATATTCCTGCAGCCACGGCGGGGGGGAGATCTTGTACTAGGCGTCTGCAATGTCCACGCCCACAACGACAATGGACCCCCCATCTACAGCAAATTGTCACCTTCACCTAAGCGGAAGGAGGAGCATCGGCCGTCCAAGGTCATCCTCAGAGAGCCGTTTTCTCGCGAACGAAAAAGAGGTCGACGGAGCACTCGCACTCGGCGTGGAAACTCACCGAGTTGGCGCCCACAAGGTGCCGGGGCACTTCCTTGTGCAACTGCGGATTGCGAAGGTTGGGGCCCATGGGCAATCGGCGTGGCCCCTCAGCGCGGACACGTTCCAACCTCAACTCTCGAAGCAACGGCAAATTTTCCGAGCGGCCGGCAATGTCCCGGCTCGCATCGCCCGCCAGCGTCTCCAGAGCACGAGGCGAGGTCGAGGCTGCAGGAAGGGAGATGCGGTCGACGTCGTCGAAACCGACCGAGGCAAGCGCCACGGCCTCCCCACGGCGCGCCCGCGATACTTGGAGCTCCGCAAGGGCTCCCGGGCCGTCGCGGCCCACTGGAGGGTTGCCAAAGCGGCGCGCAGCCGCCTCGAGCTCCAGGCGCACCGCGGCGCGGACTGCGAGCAACGGCTGAGCGGGCCAAGCTGCGGAAGGCCAGCGGGGCCACCGGGTCCGAGGTACATCTCGTTGAGCGTCCACCAGTTCATTGGTGGCGTCGCCTCGGTGCTGGCGCTAATTATGCCGCCTCTCAGCAGCCCAAGTCAAGGTCGCATCCATCTAAGTCTAAGGAGTGCGTCTCGGGCAGATCGAGGGTCACGCCGCCCGACGTCGCTCTCGCTGTCCTGAGAGGGCGCGGCGCTCCACCCTGGCCTTCTGCAGCGCCTTGAGGACGCTCGCGCCCCTCTCCGCCGTGGCTGACACGCGGGCCAGGAGGCCCGCGCAGACTGCCGCCCCACCACCCTCCCGCGAAGCGCCCGCGAGGGCCGAGGCCTCGTCCGAGAACGCGAGCTTGACAGCCTCCCGCCCGTGACCCCAGCCCTCCTCGTTCTTGTTGTACTCGACGGCCTGGGGGGCTGCGCGGAGCGGCTCCTTGGCCCCCGCGGGGCGCGCGCACTCACGCGGCTTCGCCTGCCTCCTGGCGGACTTTCCCCCGCGAGGTCGAGGAGGCGCGCCGGGCCCCAGCGGGCATGGTGGCCCAACGCCCGCAGGATACTCACGTAGTGGAACTCACCGTAGTCATCGATCGCCATGCGATGGTGGCCCTTGAACTCAGAGAGATGCCCCAGAGGCCCGCCTCGACGCCGATCGGTGGAGATGGGGCACTAAATTGGGGACAGAAGGCCCTCCAGTGGCCACCCAGGCAGACACGCTGGCGCGAACGTGACCATGACATCTCGAAGCTGACGACTCGTGCCTAGGCCGTCCGCCTGGAAGGAAATGCTCGTCAAGAGGCTGTCGGGCCCCGCCTCTATGCCAGCATAGGTCGACAGATTGATCTTTACCTTCCCGAGTCCTATCCAGCCCTTGTCCATCGGCCAGGTCATGGCGCCCCTAATGCGCTTCTTGGTCCCTTTCAGTTGCGCCGCCAGGCCGCGCGGGCCAGCCGTCGCGGCCTCCGTCGCGACCGCTCCGCGGACGCCGACGCCGCGAGGGGCCCAGGGCTAGCAGCGGCGCCCTCGGCCGCGTCGGCACCGGCGACACCTCGGATCGTTCAGCGGAGGCCCCAGGCAACTGGGCGGTGGCCATGGCCGCCAGGGTGGCTGGCGCGTCCAGTGCGGAGCCCTGTCCCGGGGCGACGCCCTCGAAACCTGCGACGGCCATGCCATGGCGGCACAGTCCGCAGGCGCGGCAAGCACCGTTCAATCCCCCCGGCGGCGGCGGCACCCTCGGCGAGGCCGCGCAGCAGCAGAACACCCAAGGCCCCCACCGCCGCAGCCCAGCCAGCAGCCGTCCACCCCGCCAGGAGCGTCGCATCGGCAACCTGGACCAGCGTCGCCCTGATCGTCCGCTCCTCCGCAGCAGTCGGGCTCCTCCTGAATCCGTAGCAGCGAGCAGGACCCAAGCCACATTGATCTCGACGCGTCGAAATATATCGAGCGGCCAGGATACCTGGGTGATCGTGGACTGCGCTCACCTCATAGACATCATGATCGGCCGAGCTACGGGTCGCCATCAGACCCGGAAATGGGCTGTCGGCCTGGGCGGCCTGAACTCGCGGACGTCGCATGCGGCGACTCCGAATCGACCACCTGCACGTGATCATCAGCACGCGCACCACCTGGGGCTCGACCAGCACCAGGTGCACCAGCACCAGGGCTAGCTCCGCCAGCCAGCGGCTCCAGGGCGCCCCCGCAGTCGATGTCTTTGGGGCCGCGGGGTCGCCCGTCGAGGCCAACGCCTCAGCTGACGGCGCGGGCGTCGTCGCCTCCCAGGGTGTCGGTGGACTGGGCACGCGGAACCTCGGGCACGATGGACAGCTCGAGGTTGAGCACGTAGGACACGCAGCGCTCGGACACCCAGGACATTGCGGGAAGGGAGAGATGCAATAAGTAGTCAAGAACTAAGCGACGGTGCGCAAGGTCCGAGCCGCAGCGTGCGCCACAGACAGTTCGGTTCCCCTGTAAAAGTTTGAGCAAGCACAGCGATCACGGTAGTGCTCGCCATCGCCCCCCCCCGTCTACCTTCGCAGAGAACAACAGGCACGCCAGAGCAATAGGTATGTATGTGTGTCTGTGTGTCTGTGTGTAAGTGTGTCAGTGTGTCTGTGTGTCAGTGTGTCTGTCTGTCTGTCTGTCTGTCTGTCTCTGTCTGTCTGTCCGTCTGCCTCTAAATGGGTGTATGTAGGCACGTACGTACGTACTTACGTACACATGTAATTGTGTATGCAGGCACGTATGCATGTATGTAGATATGGATGAATGTTACGTACGTGCGTGCGCATGTGCGCATGTTGTATACATGCGTATGTGCGTGTACACGTACATGTTGAGTTGCATGCCGATATGTATGTATGTATGTATGTATGGACGTATGCATGTATGTATGTATGTATGTGTGAATGCGTGTATGCATATGCGTGCAAGCATGAATGTACACATGTATATTTGTGTGCGAGTTTCCATGTATGGATAGATGTCTGTGTATATGTGTGTATGTATGTGTACGTGTATGTATGTACGTATGTACGTATGTATGTATGTATGTAGGTAAGTCGGTAGGCATGCATGCGTTGTATATAGTTCGAGAGTTCTATGTTCGATACATAAAAATGATAATACTTAGAATGGTATTAATAATAATAACAATAAACATAATAAATATAATAATACGAATACTAATAATACTGATGCAACTAAAACTAATAGTAATAATAATAACACTACTGAAAATACGGATAATAATACGATGAATAATAATACGAATAATAACAAGAAGAAGAAGAATAGTAATGATAATAATGATGATAATAATAATAATAACAAATAGGTCGGCCTAGGGTCCATACAGCCAGGGTGCCTGGGTGGTGTGTCAGAGCCCTCTTGGATGTTCGTTGGCACCTCGTGGAAAGCCTCTCGGGAACCGCGTCGAGGGCGGCTGTGAAGCCTATTTGGGGGCCGTCCTGGGACTTCTTGGGGCCTCCTCTTTCGGGCCTCGAGACGCCTCGTCGGGGCCTCTTTGGGCCTCCTGGGGGCCTGGGGGGGCCGAAGGCTGGAATTGTGGGTTCGTGTTCCCCCTCTTTGGGCTCTCTGGGGCAGACCCTGGGGCCACTCTTGGGCAGTCTTAGGGGGCCTTTTGGGCCGTCCTGGGGCCCTCTCGAGTCATCTTGGCGCTCGTGGGGGAGGGAGGAGGGAGGGGAAGGAGGGGGGGGACCAGAGGTGGGAAGGAGGGGGGAAGGGAGAGGAGGGCGGAAGAAGGGGAAGGAGGGAGGAGGACGGAGGAGTCGTAGAAGCCGGAAGCCTTGGCAGCAATGAGTCCTCTCCTCATGGAGGCATGTCTTCGGCTAGCTGACCTCGAACTGATGGCTGAGGGTGGCTCGAAAGGTTTCGAGAATCCTACCGGGCTCTTGGCGATTGTATGAAGTGGCCAGGGTGGGTTGTTGGAGGCTCTTGGGCCAGGGGATTCCTGGAGGAGGAGTGCGAAGTGCGGAGGGCGGAAGGACGGGCGAGGGAGGAGGGGGACGAGGGAGGAGGAGGAGGAGGAGGAGGAGGAGGAGGAGGAGAGAAGGAGGAGGAGATGGCGAAGGAAGAGGAGGAGGAGGAGGAGGAGGAGGAGGAGGAGGAGGAGGAGGAGGAGAATGAGGAGGAGGGAGGGAGGAGCAGAAGAAGGTCCCCAGGCGCTCCGAGCTTCAGCGCCACCAACACCGAGTTCGCCACCCCCTCTGGGCTGGTGGTCGTGCAAGTGCTGCCCTCGCCGGGGGGGGGGGAGCAAAGAGCCGGACGTCCCAGGCAGAGAGGCGGATAGTGCGTAACACACCCCGCGGATGCGGACAAGAGCGAGGGGTCGGCGAGGACGTTAACACTCTGCGAGGCTCTGAGGAAGCCCGCCTCAGGCGCCTAACCTTTACAAATCATGCAGCGAGCCCACCGCAGGCGCCAAATGTTTCGTTAGAGCAGTGTGGGTGTGTCGCGGAGTGGGTCGCGGAGTGGATCGCGGGTGGGTCGCGGGTGGGTTGTGGGCCGGGTCGCGGGTGGGTCGCGGGTGGGTCGTGTGTGGGTCGCGGGTAGGGCGCGGGCGGGTCGCGGGGTGGGTCGCGGGCGGGTCCCAGGTCGCGTGTGGGTCGCGGGTGGATCGCCAGGTGGGTCGCAGGGCGGTCGCGGGTGAGCGCGAGGTGGGTCGCGGGTGGGTTGCGGGGTGGGTCGCGGAATGGGTTGCGGGTGGGTCGCGGGTGGGTCGCGGGGTGGGTCGCGGGTGGGTCGCGGGTTGGGTCGCGGGTGGGTCGCGGGGCGGGGGCGCGTGTGGGACGACGCCCAAAAAACAACAAACAAATAACAACAACGATAATCCGCATCGCGGAATCCCACTTCAGTCACGCACCCAGGGACAGTTAATGATCGTTCGGCCCCCTCACTCTGATGAACTGATGGCGTGTAAATGCGGCTTCTTGCTGCCCAAATGGCCTAGCGCAGGGAGTGACAAGGCGTCGAGGAGAAGAGGGAAGGGGGGGCTAGAGGAGGCAAAGAGAGGCGAGGGGGGGAGTAAAAATAGACGCCTTTGAACTCCCAGCTGCGCTTTGCCGTCAAGGGGCAGAGGAGAGCGAGGGGGATGAGGAGGAAGGAGAAGGAGGAAGAGGCATCGCCAATGCATCGGCGACGTCTGGAAGGGGAAAGTCAGGACCCGAATCGCGCCGCGTAGCCGATGGTGCAACACCAGACGCGGCAATGACAGGCACGCAAGCGAAGAGGCGAGCGAAGAGGCGAGCGAAGAGGGGGAGGAGGAGAAAGGAGGAAGAGGAGTAGTGATAGGAGGAGGCGAGGGGGGAGGATGAGAGGGAGGACGAGGAGGAGCAAGAGGCGAGTGGGGGACGAAAGAACTCATGGTCCATCCGCGGGAGGGCCCCTGATCCCTTTTCGTTGGACCGAGGCTCGCGCCAACGCCATGTGCTGCGGGGTGGGCGGGGGGGAAATCACCGCCAAGGGGGTCGCGAACTCCTCGAAGGAAGAGGACACCTCAGGTCGGGCGTTACCAGTGCAGGATGTCCAAGGATGCCCCCCACGGCCTCCAGGCCCGGATTGTCCCAGGGGCCTCAGAATGGAGCAAAAAGCTGCGGCCACCTGGGGCCAGGGAAACCTCTAAGCAACCCCGATCAGGACCCCACCCCCCCGTGGAGGGGAAATGTGGGACTACTTGTGGGCGATCTCTCTCTCTCTCTCTCTTACTCTCTCTCTCTCTCTCTATGTCTCTTGTTCTGCCTCTTTATATGTATGTCTATCTTTGTTTTATTTCTCTGTCGATCTCCAACCCGCCACACAGGAATCCTTGTGTAAGTCTCCACACCAAAAATCCGGTTGTAGTCTGCCTCATGGCCGAGTGCCCAGGGGGTACCGTCCAACCGCAACAATACATGAACAACAAGTGAAACAGAAGCATGACAAAACGCCTGGGACTCTTAGTTTCGTTGTTGGTGTCTTGCGGCCGGCGGCCCGTATGTTTCTTTCGTTCCGTCTTTACTTATTATCGCTCTCTGTCTCTCTCATCCGCCACAAAGGAATCCTGTTGTAAACCTCCACGCAAGGAATCCATTTGCAATCCGTCTCAGAAAACCCTTTTTGTGTTAGGCGTATAAGACCGAGAGCCCAGGTGGGGCACCCACCAGCCAACAAAAACCATGATAGAACAACTAGAAACAAAACAAACGCATGATACTCTCAGTCTTGCTATTGGTTTCTTATAGCTAGCGGCCCATCTCTCTCGTTCTCGTTCACTGTTGTTTCTTTCGCTTCCCCTCTCTATCTCTCTCTTTCTCCTTGTCTTTCGAATCAGCCACAAGAGGAATCAGCTCGTAAGCCTCCACGAAAAAATCCTTTTGTAATCCACTTGAATGGGGGTCCCTTCTGTTGCAGACGCACAAGGTGGCCGAGGGCCTAGGAAGGTACCAGCCCCCAAAAACATACCAAAAACATATTATAACGCCTGGACCTTTCAATTATTTGAATTGATTTCTTGTCGCTGGCGGCCCATATCATCCTTTCTCTTTCTATTTACGTAGGTTCTTCCTGTCTTTCTCTTTTTCTGTCTGTCTCTCTCTCTCTCTCTCTCTCTCTCTCTCTCTCTCTCTCTCTCTCTTTAATTCGCCACACAGGAATCCTTTTTCGTAAGCCTCCACACAGGGGACCCTTTTTAGAATCCACCTCATAAAGATTCCTGTTGTGGCAGACGCACAAGATGGCCGAGTTCCTCGGGGGGGATCCAGGCCAAAAAGTACCACAACATAAGAAATGTCTGGAGCTCTGAATGATTTTGTTCGTGGCGGGCGGCCCTGTAGGCCATAGGAACAGTGGGCCGCCAGCCACAAGAAACCAATACATATATATATATATATATATAGAAAACGAAGAGACCCAGGCGTTTTTTGTTTTTCTGTTATTCTCACTGTTTTTGTTTTCATTTATCTGGTAAAATTACGGTGCTCCTATTGGACGAGGAGGATAGGAGGGGTATGAATTCACATAACATTGTTATTGTGGTCGTGCTACTGCACTCTTATTGGAAGAGGAAGAAAGGAAAGGGGAGGAATTCGTAGTGCATTCTGAATGTCCCCTACCGTACCGCTAGGCACGGAGTGGGCGTGTTCAATAAGGGCCCAGACCCACATTTCCGAAATCCCACAGTCGTGGCTCCATATGGCTACAGCACTTTCCGCGTGCCCTCTGGGCTCCGGCGCGTGCCCTCTTGGCTCCGGCGCGTTGCCTCGCGTGCTTTTTAAGGCCAAAGAGGGCCCCAAGACGGGCCAGGAGGGCCTCAAGCGGCCTCCAAGACGGTCCAAGAGGGCTCCCGAGACTCCCAAAGATCGGCCCAAAACGCCCAAGATGGCCTCACAACGGCCCAAGAGGCTTCCAAGACGCCCCAAGAGGCCTCCAAGCAAGAGGCCTCCCAAGAGGACCCCAAGAGGCAAAAATCAATAAGTGTCCAGAGGTTTTTGTTCAACGGATTTTGGCATTCTCGCCTTTTCGGCTTTACGACGCTCCAAGACGGATCAAGAGGCCCCCAAGACCACCTCACAACTGCGCAAGAGGCCTCCCAGAGGGCCCCAAGGAGCACCCCAAAACTGCCAAGGAACTACTACTACTACTACGACTACGACTACGACGACTACTACTACTACTACTACTACTACTACTACAGCTACTGCTACTACTACTACTACTACTACTACTACTACTACTACTACTACTACTACTACTACTACTACTACTACTACTACTACTACTACTACTACTACTACTACTACTACTACTACTACTACTACTACTACTACTACTACTACTACTACTACTACTACTACTACTACTACTACTACTACTACTACTACTACTACTACTACTACTACTACTACTACTACTACTACTACTACTACTACTACTACTACTACTACTACTACTACTACTACTACTACTACTACTACTACTACTACTACTACTACTACTACGACTACTACTACTACTACTCTACTTACTACTACTACTGCTACACTACTACTACTACTACTACTACTGCTACGACGACTACTACTACGACGACGATTACTACTACTACTGCTACTAATACTACTATACTACTACTATACTACTACTACTTACTACTACTATACCACTACTGCTATACTACTACTACTACTACCACTAATACTACTACCACTAATACCACCACCACACGACTACGACTACTACTACTACTACTGACTACTACTAACTTCTACTACTACTACTACTACTACTACTATACTACTACTACTATGACACTACACTACTAATACTACTACTACTACTACTATACTACTACGACTACTACTACTACTACTACTACTACCTACTACTACTACTACCTACTACTACTACTACTACTACTACTACTACTACTACTACTACTACTACTACTACTACTACTACTACTACTACTACTACTACTACTACTACTACTACTACTACTACTACTACTACTGCGACTACTAATACTACGATTCTACTACACCACTTAATACTACACATACTACGACGACTACTACTACTACACTACTATACTACTACTGCTACGACTAATTGTACTACTCTTACTACTACTACTACTACTACTATTACTACTACTACTACACTACTACTACTACTACTACTACGACTACCATACTACTACTACGACTACTACTACTACTACTACTACTACTACTATACTACTATTACTACTTAATGCTACGACTGCTACTACGATTACTACTACTACTACTACTACTACTACTACTACTACTACTATAATACTACTACCCTACTTACTACGAACTACTACTACTGTTACTACTACTACGACTACCTACTACTACTACGCTACTACTATACTACTAATACTGCTACTACTACTATCTACTACTACTACGACTACTACTACTACTACTACTACTACTACTACTACTACTACTACCACTACTACTACTACTACTACTACTACTACTACTGACTACTACTACTACTACTACTAACTACTACTACTACTACTACTACTACTACTACTACTACTACTACTACTACTACTACTACTACTAGTGCTACTACTACTACACTACTACTGACTACTATACTATACTACGACTACTACGTACTTACTACACTACTACTACTATTACTACTAATACTACTACTATACTACTACTACATACTACTACTACTACTACTACTACTACTACTACTACTACTTCTTC